GTAGCAAAGGTGTATCCGCAATTTGTGGTTCCGTTGTACTGTCGGAGTTCTCAGTTAACGTTCTCATAATTTGTAAACATTTCTCTTTTGTGTACCTTTGCTCAGATTCGGTAAAGTTCTTGAGCTCTTTTGCTGGCGGGTATAAAAAAGCACAATTTTGTGCAAATCTGTTAGTTTTTAACAGCAACTGTTTTTAAATAATAAAGCAACTTATTTTTCAAGTCCCTTATAAAGCCGATGTTTCCTGAGGTAACATTGCATTTCTTTTGTAGACTAATGGCCTTATTCATAAAAAATAAAGTAGGTTTAAAGAGCTTTATAAATTGACGTTTTCAATTTATAAACCTTTTATAAAGCTACTTTATTTTTTATGAATAAGGCCATAATTATATAAATGCACGTCAGGTGCATAACTAAATAATTTAGTAAAACTAATACATTTAAAAAAATACTTCATCAATATCCATTTTTCTCAAGATTGTCGTATTCTCTACTAATTGTTTGAAGTCAATAGGTGTCATTCGATTGCTCGACTTGCTTTTCATAACAGCATTTTTCACTCGCTTGACTTGATTTGGAAAGAGTATCTCAATGCCATATTTGAAATCAAGCTAAACATTGATTTCAAAACTAACTATGAATCTCACTGTTTGCACGGTGTTTTTCACTAACCTTATAGAGTTCACAGCAATGAGTTCATACTGTTTAGATGGAAGAGAGTAAACTCATGCTGTTGTCTGGTATCTACCAGGGTTGTTGCGAATATTCGCACTCGCATTTGCAACCGCGGAGCTTCCGCATTAATTTTAACATTCGCATTCGCAATAATCAATGCGGAGCTTTTGCGAATGCGAATATTTTGCAAGTGGTATAAACGATAAAACGTATATATGGCAAAAAAAAATTACATATTGTAGCCAATATTTTTGCCTGTGGTCGTAGGAGTATTTGTGTAACAAAACTGGTCAAATGTCATATTGATCAACTTTGATAAAAATGTCTTTATAATATTATTTCTTAAGCTATATAACCGAGCTATGACTGGGCAGCCATAAAAGTTCCCATTTCTACTTGGCCTTTGACGTACTTCAAAGAGAACATAGTCCTTTTAATAATATTTTTTTTCCGTGCTTTAAATACCTGCGTTGGTTTATTTCTTTATTATGATTTTTTTGGACCAATCCTAAAAAAAAACTACTAGACACAAAAGAAGAAAGTGTGCACTGTAATTCTTAAAAAAAAATTCGGTATTTGCTTTTGATGTTATAGGCGGCATACACGGTGCGTCTGACTCGTGAGTCGGTTTGGATGTGTTTGTGAAAATAAATATGTGTTTGTTACACCAACATGACTCCCGGCATGACTCTGAATGATTGAACTGTGTGTAGTCGAAGGCGAGTCAACACATACACAAATGACTCGCGAGTCGACGTACCGCGTATGCCACCTATTACATATATTCGTTTAAATAATTTCAAATGGGGCTCTTTGGGGAATTCATTTCTAAACAGTAGTTTTGTTTACTTGTTGGATAATATTTTTTTCATATGGATATACATCNTGTTACACCAACATGACTCCCGGCATGACTCTGAATGATTGAACTGTGTGTAGTCGAAGGCGAGTCAACACATACACAAATGACTCGCGAGTCGACGTACCGCGTATGCCACCTATTACATATATTCGTTTAAATAATTTCAAATGGGGCTCTTTGGGGAATTCATTTCTAAACAGTAGTTTTGTTTACTTGTTGGATAATATTTTTTTCATATGGATATACATCGGATCCTTGGCTAAAAACTTCTGTGGTAAAACTGTCCCTTCTTTGCTATTTAAAGTCAATGAGTACGCTCCTTCAATAGGGATTTCCACTAGAAATGATCAACGTCTAGCTATAAAGAGAATCGATGCTCAAATAATTAAAAAGCAGGGACATAACAGTTAGAAGTTTTATAGCAAAAACGTTGCTCCATAACAGTTATTAGATGAGAAATACTTTTTATTTCGTCGATAAGAGTTATAACCCAACGTTTATTTTTTACGTTGCCTAATAACTGTTATGCAGGAGAAATATTTTTTCCGTTGCCGATAAGAGTTATTTCCCAACGTTTATCTTTTACGTTGCTGGATAAGAGTTATTTTACACCCTTTATTTTTTACGTTGTCTGATAAACGTTGTAAGATTAGGATATTGATGAAGATGGAGATGGAGAATAAGATAAAGACGATGAAATAAAAGTGAGAGAGTGAAATAACTATTATCAGATAACGTAAAAATATTCGTCGGGCAATAACTGATTTCAAGCAACGTTAAAAATAAACGCTATAAGCACAAATTTATCAAAGCAGTCGCAGAAGAAAGTATAAAAAATGAATTACAAAAACAAAAATCGAAAAGTGCTGATAAAGTTACAGGTTCTGCAAATTCTGAAACAACATGACATGTATCTGGTTTGGCTTGTAACAGTGGCGGACCCAGGTAGGGGCAATTGGGGAAATTTACCCCCAAGACTGTGTAATATATATTTTCATAATAGTCAGCTGAATATCGTGAAATATCATTACAGGAATATATAATAGGTTTGTCGCACAAGCTACTTGTAGAAAAACTCGTGCAAAGTTAAAACTGTGAGCGTATATCAAAGAAACTCCAAAACTTACATGAGGAGCTCCAAGTGATTCGAGAAGATTGGGGAACAAACCTAATGAATGGATGCTTTTAAAAATTTTAATTCATGGAAAAAGTGTGTAAAATTTCACTTGAGTTTGTAATTTTAGCTGTGTGCTAAGTTCGAAGTATTATGTTATTTAAGTAGGCCTATCAGTTTTTCGAATTCACTGAACTTTCAAAATTTTGAAATTATGTACTTAATGTTAAATTTTTAATTTTTTTGTTATATTTTCGAATTTGTATTATTTTACACAGTTGAAAGTCACAGCAAGTTTGAATATCTTCACAGGTTCAGAAAACAACGAAAATTCCAAAATTTTGAATTTTATAATATTATTAAATTTCTTGAGATTTCTTATTTTTAGGATAATTTCCAAAATTTCAAAAACTATCCAAATCCGGGAGATTCTAGGAATTTTGGTAAAATGAGAATATTTTGAAATGTACAAAATTATTGAGATTTTAGAAATTTTTATATTTTCAAAATTTTGAGAATTTAATTTATCCTAAAATCCATCATAAATGTAAAAATGTGAATCATCACACATTGTCGAAAAATTCTCATGTTCATGGTACTTCTGTGTAAAAAATAGAAAATTCTTAGAATTCTAAAAGATATTAACATTTTTGAAAAATTCCAAAATTGTTCCACTTTTCTTAACTTCTCCAAAATTTTGTATTGATATAACAAAGTTTGAGAATTTTAAATTTTTTGAAAATTTTGAAAACATCGTCCAAAAATTTTTTGAATCTTCAAGAATTACGAAAATTTTTTAAATTTTCAAAAACGGCGAAATATCTACAATTCTCAAAATTTTTGAAAAATAAAAAATTTCTAGAAATCTAGTATTCATCATTGAATTATTGGGATTTACTAAAATTTCACAAATTCACAAAGTTTGAAAGTTTAGAAAATTTTGGAATTCCACTCAAGTTATTAAAAAGGGGAAACATCAAGAAGTTCCAAAATTGTTCCACTTTTCTTAACTTCTCCAAAATTTTGTATTGATATAACAAAGTTTGAGAATTTTAAATTTTTTGAAAATTTTGAAAACATCGTCCAAAAATTTTTTGAATCTTCAAGAATTACGAAAATTTTTTAAATTTTCAAAAACGGCGAAATATCTACAATTCTCAAAATTTTTGAAAAATAAAAAATTTCTAGAAATCTAGTATTCATCATTGAATTATTGGGATTTACTAAAATTTCACAAATTCACAAAGTTTGAAAGTTTAGAAAATTTTGGAATTCCACTCAAGTTATTAAAAAGGGGAAACATCAAGAAGTTCCAAAATTGTTCCACTTTTCTTAACTTCTCCAAAATTTTGTATTGATATAACAAAGTTTGAGAATTTTAAATTTTTTGAAAATTTTGAAAACATCGTCCAAAAATTTTTTGAATCTTCAAGAATTACGAAAATTTTTTAAATTTTCAAAAACGACGAAATATCTACAATTCTCAAAATTTTTGAAAAATACAAAATTTCTAGAAATCTAGTATTCATCATTGAATTATTGGGATTTACTAAAATTTCACAAATTCACAAAGTTTTGAAAGTTTAGAAAATTTTGGAATTCCACTCAAGTATTAAAAAGGGGAAACATCAAGAAATTAAAAACTATCAAAACTCTAAAAATTTTAAAATGCGGTGATTTTTAAATTTATATACACGATATAAAAATACTTGAAATCCGCATTCGTATCCGCATCTGCGGATGTTAGCTGTTAGATATTCGCATCCGCATTCGCATCCGCGGATGTCTAAAATTCCACATCCGCAACATCCCTAGTATCTACATACCCATTGTTTTAATTTTTCATGTTGACGAAGAGTTTTACACGATTTCTTATTATACATATAACTAATCTTGTGCAAGCCTAAGAAATGGTTACGATTGAAAATTAAAATAAAACATAAAAACTTTAAAATTTTTTTTTTCAATTTCTCATTTGATGTAGTATATATAGTGGCCGATCGCCAAACTCGGCTTTATTTTTGGGTGTTCTTGCTTTGGTCTTCAATTTAAACGAAAAAAGAAACGGTTGCTACCGTGGCCAAATTATTTTGTTGCGTGGCTTCAATGGCACGCGTGGCTTTGGTTCGTCAGCCCTGTTCTATGAATTCCGCGCTAGAGATGGAATGAAAGTCATGCGTTTAGATTATGAGGTAGCATGTTATCCGGAACGTTCTAATGAATAAGTAAACGGAAAATGTATGTATTCCGAACGTTTGGAATCAATAAGGAAACACGCACGAAATCTTCTGTGATCACTTGACATGGATTTACTATTTATTCTGTTAAGTATTGTATATTTAATTTCAGAGTATACGAATATATTCTTCATTGGACTATTTACCTGCGAAATGATGCTCAAGATGTATAGTTTGGGTTTTCAAGGATATTTCGTGTCATTGTTTAATCGGTTCGACTGCTTTGTTGTTATTGGTAGCATTACGGAAACGATATTGACTAATACGGGAATAATGCCACCACTAGGAGTGTCAGTATTACGTTGCGTTCGGCTCTTAAGAGTCTTTAAAGTCACAAAGTAAGATATTTTAGTTTATTTATTTATTTCTTACGGCTCTATTGCGCCTAGATCTTAACAATAATAGACTTAACCTAATTAGTTTATAATAAATTACATAGGTCCAATTGAGACATTTTCTTAGGAAATAGTTTGCATGCCATCAAAATATCAAAGAACGGAACAAAAGTAAACCGAATACATAGAGTTACTGAGTTAAATAATATCGAGCCCTAACCGTCAAAAGGGCGTGAGCGACAAAATATTCGATTTTCTGTTTTTTACAGAAAGCGATTACTTACTACTAGAGTCCGACCGATTCCATTTTTTTCAGGTACCGATGCCGATGCCAATTAATCTTATATGGAGAAAGAATCGGCCGACGCTGATACCGATTCCATAAAAAATTTCAAATAAAGGTATTTATTCATAAAATCAGTGGATTTAACGGAGTTAACAAAACAAAAGAAAACAATTACTTGAATTCATTGGCTTGTTATGCAACGTTGATCGACAATTATCACAATTTAGCTTGCAATTTTTCATTGCAGAGGGAAATTGTTATATTTTTGTGTGAAAGTTTGATGTGCCTCTATTTTTCTTCCAAATATGGACTATTTACCAACAACGGTAAATACATACATATATTTGTGGTAGATACCGATTCCATAAAAAATTTCAAATAAAGGTATTTATTCATAAAATCAGTGGATTTAACGGAGTTAACAAAACAAAAGAAAACAATTACTTGAATTCATTGGCTTGTTATGCAACGTTGATCGACAATTATCACAATTTAGCTTGCAATTTTTCATTGCAGAGGGAAATTGTTATATTTTTGTGTGAAAGTTTGATGTGCCTCTATTTTTCTTCCAAATATGGACTATTTACGAACAACGGTAAATACATACATATATTTGTGGTAGATAAAGATTTTTAATTAAAAGGATGAAAATATAATACATGTATGTGGTGTTAAAATACTTGGTTATTTCAGAGCTTAGTAGTGTTGTTCGACTTTACTAGAAAGTCGACTTTTCGATCGACTCTGTATAGTCGACTTTTTTAGCATTAAAAAAACCGCAAAATAAGGTCCCGGGTACAAACGTATCCCGGGTGTGTGTTTACGTGGTATTTTCTGGGTGTGTGTTCTAGGGTTAAATATACTCCGCTAGCAAACACATTTTGCACCATAGAAGAACCACTTTTTTTTGGGACAAACGATATCAGCATAAGTTTTTATAGAGAAATAGTATTTTAATCAATAACGTATGTATTTGTGTTGACGAGCTGTTTTCTTGATAACAAGAATAAAAGAAATGAGTTAAAGGCATCAAAATGGCTTTGTTAATGCAAAAATGTTTTTTTTTATATATCTTTTAGTTTAACCGCCGCAATTGCGTGCTGTAGCCTTTTTTGTGACGGCAAAAAGGGCGTAAGCGACAAAATCACCTATTTCATTAAATACGGGCAAATGAAACCACCAGTATTATATACCTCACATCAAATGTAACTTCTTCATTGACCTTCACGTTAGAATCTACGGTAATTGCCGTGTTAATAAAAAAAACCCTTTTGGCGGTTAGGGCTCGATATCTAAAGCGTTATGCTGGATGGGTCAACAATTTTCAAACAAATTTCTTTCATAGACAGTTTCAAAAAAGCAATTTAAATGACACATGGTTTTGATTTGAATTTATTATGAAAACTGGCAGAAGGAAAAATTAATTGTTCACTCAAATTGCTGGTGAAACCGGCAGTTGATTTATTTTATTCTCTAACATTGCTTACCTTTATACGGTAATTCATTGGATCACTTTTGGCTTTTATAGTAAAGATTACATTAAGAGTATTCAGACTATACTCGTTAATGTATTAATTCGTTATCTGGTAACTCGGTAACACTTTCATCTTCAAGCGCCCCTTATTTTCTTACGGTTAAAATTACTTTTATTTAAGTAATACTTACTTGTAAAATTTATTAATTCCAAGACAGAATGTTTTATTGAACTTTTGATAAAATGTATGCACTTTCCGCGTGAGAAAATTCCAGAAAATAAGCGACAGAAAGGAATCAGCTGACATTTTAACACATGTGTTACCACATTATCAGACTTGCCACCTCGTTGAGTTGGTAATGATACATTCGGTAATTTACAAAAACAAAACAATGGCGGGAGTTACCGAATACGGAATTAAGACCTTAACGAGTATAGTCTGAATCACCTTATTTATTAGATACAGTTTTTAAAGTTGATAAAGTGTAGTGAGTTTCTTTTAGGAGCAAGAACGATAGAATACAAGATTGCACATTCCCGCAGAATGACATTTGTGGCAACGGGTAAACAAAGAATATGGCGAAGAACAATGAGTGGACAGTTGTGAATTTGCAGTGAGAAAACGTGTTTTCTTCACGATTCATCAATTTGTCAAGCATCTTTGAACATAGCAAATTAAGCACAACGTTAACAAAAAATATACAACCACTCTTGAAATGTGTTCAAAAGAATAGGTCTTATTAATTAACTATTTAGAATTTTTGTGTTTGTATTGCAGGTGCCGAAAAAGTGATATCTTGTCGCAGCGCATGTTTTCCTGCAGAATGGGGTCGATGTTTGCTTACCTCCGATTTTAATTTGTAATTTGTGGTATTTTAACGTTTTCAACTTAACATGTCGCGTTTAAAAGTGGTCCGTAAAGTGCTTCATGCATATTACGCTGGTGTGTAAATTGTAGGGCTTCTCCTGCCGGCAGAACTCTACCCACTTTCTGGCCAAGGCGTCGTCGCGGGGAAACAAAAAAAAAACTGCATTTGGGGGCTTTACCCCTACGGCTGCTGCAATTAAACACACGACACGACATTTGTATAAAGTTTTTATTACAAATAAAACGTTTTTTACTTCAGAACGCACGAATTACTTCGATTTTTCACTTGGAAGTACACAATACGTTTGCACTTGTTTATAAACAAAAAGTTTGTTTACATATTGCCATAAACGTCAAAGTCGGCAAAACCAAAGTAGCGGTTTCGGGAATGCGCCACCTTCAGTTCATTACACCATGTTTTAGGAGTGTCTTTGTTGTAAATAATACTGCAATTTATGTTAACCTTCATTTTATGATCCGGTGATGTATGCGTTGCTGAGCATTTAGAAATGGTCGCAAGGAGAACTTGTATCGGGCCAGGGATGCCAACTTATTTTATCCCTCTCCCCGTTGACCACCGCGAAATTCCCCGATTTCCGGTGAAATTCCCCGCACTGGCATGATTCTATTAAAAAACTAAATTTCTTTTATTTAATTGCTTGATCTTATTTACGAATGTTCATACAATATTTAAATTTAAAATTTTTTCACAAACTTCTTATAAAATTATATCTTATTGTATAATAGGGCTGTGCGATTATTCGATTACTCGAGCAAGTTGGTTAATCAGTTATTCGGTTAATCAATTACTCGAGTAATCAAGATTTTGTTTACTCAAAACGATGATTAATCGAGTTACTTGAAATATGATTACTCAAAAAAATTAATTTTGCTCGTTAAAAGAGTTTGCTTTGGAAAATGCTTATTTCCTTTTTTATATTCTGTATATGAAAAAAAATGTATTTATGTATGTATTTCATTTTAATTTTTGAAAACAGAAACGTTTCTTTCAAATTATGAAGGAACTTCAACTGCTTTATATGTATGTATGTAAAGAGTACTTTAAAATGTTGATTACTCATTTTATTCATAATGTTGATTAATCATAAAGCAAATTACTCAAATATTTTTGTTTTTGGTTAATCAAAATCTTGATTACTCGAGTAACTGAACTTTTGAGTGATCATAATTTCCAATTAATCGAATAATTGAGTTGTTTACTTTATGATTTATTAAAATTTTGAATAATAAATTAATCGTACAGTCCTATTGTATAACATACGCCATATAATTCAAAATAAAAAACTTTGGGCAAAACTGACAAAAATTCAACAAATTTAAAGAAATTTTCATCAAAATTTTTAACTTTTTACTCGTTTTTTCAGAAGCCAATTTAATTTTATTATTATTTAATTTATTATTTATTTTATTTATAGTTTTAACTTAAGCCTAAGTGGAAGGTTCTATCACCTTTTGTTTTTTTGCTAGACCTTCTAAAATATTGCAAAAACGCGAGTTCTTGACACTTTGACCTAGTTTTTCTCAAACGCTGGAGCTGATGGAAACTTTGAACTTACGGTTTCGTAATCATAAATAATAATAATTCGTAAAAGTCTTTCAAAAACAGCTTTAACATTTGCCGCAACAAAACACTGTTGCCTTGTGTTATTGCATTATTTAATATGTATATACAAATGAATGTAAGTAAAATTAAAAATATCAATGTTTTTATAATGTTTCTAATGCGAAATTGGCAGAGTTGCAAAAAGTATTCTGCACTCTAGGTAAGTTATTTAGTGATTTAAAATTAAATAGTCTAAATTCTCTGCAAAAGGCAGCCATTATCCGATTCCCCGCAACGAGACATATTCCCCGCAAGTTGGCATCGCTGTATCGGGCACCAGATGACTTCTAGGAAAATGCTTTTGCAACAGCAAGATATTGTGCCAACTCACATAGCCAAAAGCGCGCAAGAAAGATTGCATCCTTCAGCTTTTGTTAAATTGCACGCTGAATTACCTACGATAGAAATCTTTTCCGAGGTGACTTCACAATGTACATACATAAATGTTGATTTTATAGACATTGTGGACACTAAATAACGTTAGCCCATTTAATTCAGTTTAACATATTTATGTAGCAAAGCAACGTTTATTTTTCTTTGTAACACCTTACAATAAACTGACACTAGTTACAAGCGCTTTTATTTGCTTCTCATCTATGATAACTTATTTTTTTACATGCACTTAAATATGTACACATATTCTATGTACAAACATATTTTGTTTTACAGGTATTGGCGCTCACTTTCAAATCTCGTGGCTTCGCTTTTGAATTCAATACAGTCGATTGCGTCCCTATTGCTCTTGTTATTTCTTTTTATTGTTATTTTTGCTCTTTTGGGAATGCAAGTGTTTGGAGGAAAGTTTAACTTCAAGCCTGAGGAAGAAAAACCACGCTGGAACTTCGATTGCTTTTGGCAAAGTTTACTCACAGTATTTCAGGTAAAAAAATAATTGTTCATGCAAACACACACATAAAATGTACAATCTTTGTTTTATTTTTTTCTAATGTTGACAAGTTTTTTAATGAATCAGTCACGAAAATGCTAAACTTTTTACAATAATATATTTATATAATTACACCAGTTCCCATGTAAAATCGGTCGCCGAGTTCGAAAATCCGCATATTTTTCTGAAGTAAAAGTTCTTTCGCCGCCTGAGAGTGATTTTTCAAGGTCGCGGATGCCACTTTTTCGCCATGTTTTAGTTCGGGCACTCAAGTTGCAGCGTAAACCCACACACCCCGTGAACCAGCACACCCTCATAAAAACAACCGAAAAATAACCTGTCTGAAAAGGAAACGTAGTAGTTAGGTTGCAACTAGGACGTAGACTACCCACACAGGAATATTTACTAAATAAAAATATAAGCACACCCAGTGTTGCCAGAACTTTTTGGGCCGACCGGCTAGATTGGCAAAAAAAGCGGCTAAAAACGGCTAAAATGTTTTAGTGAAAATTCAAATGCTTTATTTAAATAAATCGCAAGAAACGAAAGACTAGTTAACACCATTAGTTTATATCGAGTGTATATTCCTCATCATCAAATGAATCACTATTGTATATATCACCTGAATTCATTAATTTTAAGAGATCGTCATCTACAGTAAAATTATGGCAGCATTTTTCTTCACGTTTTAAACCGTATCTTATATATAAAATAGCGTTTAACGTTTTAACGCACATTGGATTTCTTTGCTTAGTTTTTATTATATTCATTGAACTAAATATTCGCTCTACTTCTGCATTACTTATAGGCAAAACAAGAAAACTAAAAACTAGGTTGCAAAGGTCAGCAAAAGGGTTTTCTCCTAGGGCATTTCGAAATTGATAAACTTCGGCCCAAAATTTTACAGTTGAGTCTAAATTACTCCAGGTATGTAACGTTAACCGTTGCCATTGCATCTCTATGGATGTTATTTCGTCGGCATTATATTTGTGTTTTTGTTGCTGTAGTTGAACAAATACTTTTGGTTTAATTACTCTTAATGCATTTCCAACCGAAAAAAGTCAATTTTTTTTAGTGTGGCAATATTTGTAGGGAGGCGTTGGCGTAATTCCTTTATTAAAGTGATAATAAAATAGCGACCATTTTCTCGAATTATTTTCTCGGCTTCGTGGTCAAAAGCGTTTGTGCTTACTTTTGTTTTTAAATACTCTTCAAAACTGTGATAAAACTGAGGAAATGGAGCAAGGTATGGTTCCAACGGGGAGCATATAGGATCAAATGTGTCCGCGCTAATAACCACTAGGGAGCATAGATGCGAAAGTAAAACATTGAGTTCATTAAAAATCTTCATTGGGTCTGCATTATTGCTTTCGAACAACTTGTTTACTTTTTGCACCTGAAAATTAGGCAAATAGTAAAATCGGCTAAAAACGGCTAACTTTTTTTTACAAACCGGCTAACAAATCGGCTGCCGGCTAGATCGAATTTTCTCCGGCTAGTTGCTATCAAAACCGGCTAAATCTAGCCGGAAAACGGCTAAAATGGCAACGCTGAGCACAACATGTATGAAAATACTGTACCTTCCATAATGCAGATATAGAACACATTTTCAAATCATTCTCGGGTTTCCACACCCAAAGGCACATCCTTTTCCCCCAACTGTTCCCATACAGACCTCAAAAGATGTGACCTGTGGTATAGTATAATACCATGTTCTCACCGACAACGAAAACACTTTGAAAACGAGTTTTGGGATTGTGGGCTGAAGGCTGTTCACACCGGCTGTTGGTGTTTTCGTTAACATTTCTTACATCGTCTGATTACCGCTTTGCTACACAAAAACAAACCCAAAATGCTTTTCCCTCATTTTCTTTTCATTAGCAACCTCTTACTTTCATTCATATTTTACTTTGGCCAGCCAATTAACAATAAATCCGAAATGGCGTATTTAAGATGATAAAATATGACTTCCACTTCGATAAATAATCGAAAAAAAAACTAATGAAGACACCGATTGGGATGAGTGGAACGTGAGTTTTCAAGTAGTTTTCAGCAAAAACTGCTTTTCGTTTGGCAGATTTTACATAGACGAAAACACAAGTTTTATGTCGAAAACCAGTTTTAGCAACGAAAACATGTTTTCGATGTCGGTCAGAACATGGTATAAGTTAACTCCCTTTTTATTAAAAAACTATCAGTCGTGATATTAGTGAGAGTACATTCAAGATAAAAACTGTACATGAAATATTCGTTTGTATTGAAATCCATTTAATAAATCAATACGAATACAAAATATTAATAATTATCAATAGAGCAAGGGGCCCACATTATCTTCAATCATACACATATACGTGTCATCAGCTAATAAATTAAAAGAGTATTTTCAATAAGTAAATATTTGACCAGCCGCATCTGCCACTATTTCATTTCATTTTTATTTAATTTCTTGCTACAAATTTTTTTATTATTTTTAATATTAGCTTAAGTCACAATTTTTGTGCTCGTCTTTGCATTGTCTTTGACTTTGGTCGAAGTTAGCTAATTTTGACATTTCAAACAGGTGGCGACCCTCCTTAATATAGTTAAGAAATAAATGAATCTCTTGCGTCTGACAATTTGCTACTTATGTATTTAAATTACCTTACGAATTAAGCTGAACTTAATTTTTTAAATACGCACGTAGCAACAATCATAAATATAGTTCAGACATAAAGCCTTTTTAAATCTGTTTCGTTTGATGCCCATCTTTTAATAACTCCTTTAATTTATTAAATAACTTGAGTTTAACTTTTTAAACAGGTGGCAACCCTCCTTAATATTCTAAATGTTCAAGATAAGGATTTTTTACCACTCCTTCATTTGACGCCAATATTTTAATATATCATATGTAAGTTATGCGTACTTCAATTAAATGCGACTTCTCGAACAAGTCGCAACCTCGTTCAAAATATTTTACAACAAAACCATATTCTGATACATAATTGAAGTAACTAGTTTCCCTAATTCAACTTGGATTTATTTTTTTAAAACCGGTGGCAATCCTACATATAGTTTAAAAATAAACCCCGATGTATTAAGTTGAATTTGATTTNTTCTGATCATAAAAGTATACATTTTAATGGGTCTATCTCTTTTTGTTCTGGTACTTACAAACATCGGACCAAAGTTATAATACCATTTCATGCTCATGAAAGGTATAATAAGTGGCGACCGTCCTGAATATATAATACCGTCCTGAATAATAAAACCTTTTTAAACAGATGTCAATTGGTATCCATATTTTAAATAATTCATTTGATTTATTAAATAATTTGAGTTCAACTTTTTACACAGGTAGCAACCCTCTTTGCTATTCCAAATGTTCAAATTAAAGATTTCTTAATAGCCCTGGCAGACATATGGTTTATATACTATACTAGCATTCTATACTACATGTCTGTCGTTGTAAACCACAATTATACCATCGTACAAAGTGGTTTGAAGCTGGTTCCTATACTATGAAAATGAACGTGGTATAAAGCGAGTATACCATGAAACACAGCCAGAGAGTAAAAAAAATTTCACCCAAAATGTGTGGTGAAAACAAACAGAGACAGTGAACTGATAGCATGTATGTATGCCATTTTGCTCGCGCTGGTCCAACAGTCACAATGGACGAGTGATCAGAGTGCTAGAGTGTCACTTGAAAGATCCGAGATCGAGTCCTCGCGTAGGAGATTCTTTTCTTTATTATTTAATTGTTTTTTTTTACTTTATTTATTTTTAAATAAAAATCAGCAGCTAATGCGCTAGACATGTTGGTGGAATGTTTTATTTTCGCTAATAAAGAATAATATAATAATAATAATAATAATAATAATAATGATAATAATAATAATAATAATGTTAAACAAAATTTTTTCCATTGAATTTGTATGATACTAAAGCACTTATTTAGGTTTATTTTCTAATGAAATTTTTCTTACACAAATATTTCCTCCCTTCATTTTCGCATTCTTTAAAATAAAATTGCAAGGAATTATCCTTTCCTCCATATTTTTATTTTGAAATATTTACCCTGGTATTCAGTAAGCTTTCTCACGTTTTAATCTCAAAAAGAAAGATATGGGGGAGAAGAGAATTGCTTTCTATTTTATTTAAAAGAACGCGTAAATGAAGCGAGGAAATATTTGTTTAACAACAATTTCATTATGAAATAAAACTAGGTACTTTAAATCATATAAAGTCAATGAATAAAAATGTTTTTTTTTTAACATTAAAATCTTCAGATTATTTAAAAAGGAATTAAAAAAAAATAAATCATTAAAAAACCCGTCCCCGGAGACTCGACTCGGATCTCTCTAGTGGCACTCTAGCGCTCTGTTCACTCGGCCATTGCGACTGCTAGAGCAGCGCGGGCAAAATGGCATACATACATGCTATCAGTTGTGATAAAGAAACAAAACATCGGTATACGTACTAGATGTGTGTCTCATCGAAATAGTATCAAAATCCATAGTATGCATACCATGGTGTACAAACCACATGTCTGTCAGGGCTATAACACTCCTTCGTTTGACACCCATATTTGATATAACTTATGTATAATAATAAAGATTGGCGCTTACACAATATGTTAGTGTTTGGCCGAGATTCTCTTCCGATTTGTGGCGTGCACTTTGATCACAGTATATACAGTAATAAACCTTTTTGAGTACTCCTCGGGGGTAAAATCTGATCAGGGTTGATAATGAGAAGGAAATTTGAAATGAAATTTGTTGATTCAGAGTTGTATACAAAATTACTGTGGGATGAAAGGGAGCAACAACCGTGCTATGGCAGAGTGGCACAAGACATGAGTGTATAATAGTGACCGAAAGTGTAAAAAATTGCAAATTATTCTTTATTAATATAGATACTAATACAGATCATCAGAGTTCAGTGTTTAACTGGTTATATTACACCGTAAATGATAATGAATTGTTAAATACTGAAAACGCTAGTACTTAAACCAA